GTTTTCTTCTTGGAGCTATCACTATTCGTCTTCAGTATGTTATCGCCGGAGAACACAGAAGTAGATAGATGAGTGAGAGGAAACGCAGAGGAGGAGGAGAATCAAAACTTGTGAAACTACCATGGCCTAAGCCTGAGAGCACGAGGAGGCATGGTGGCTAACATTGAAGATTGTGGGTTTTTACTGAGAGGAGGAAATGTCTCAAGCGAGCTCAAACAAAGCTAAATTTCAGAAGAGGTGATAAAGGATGATTGGGTCATCTTCATCAACGTTTACTACATTGTTTCTCACCATAAAAAAACTATCTTCTTCGTCTTTTTATCTGAGAAACTTTTTTATTTATTTATTTGGAAATATCTCAGATTTATAGAAGGTGTCAAACTAATCTTCAAAGTGAACTGTAGCCTAAAGATTAATCTTCTCTCTCAATATTCAAATGGTTCCTAACTAATGGGCACATATCTGCATGGCAATATGATGAAGTGTAATCAGAGGCAGAGCCATGTGGTGGGGAGAGGGGTCAGTTGACCCACATGACTTCTAGAAATAAATGAGTTTAGCTTATGTATGATTGATTTGGCTAGAACATTTGGTGAAGATCCTTTAGCTTGACCCCCATGACACAAGTTCAAACCTTTACTTTGACCCATTTTAAACTTTTTTTAGTAATATTACATAATTATTGTAATAAATGACTCATATAAAAAATGTTGTTTGTCTCGCCACTGAATGTAATGGGATACTTTCGCATCCAGGTTGCTTTAGCCACCCAAATCCTACCTACCACTAAATCACCACCATCACATGGTTTCAACTAAGAAACTTTATAATGAAAAAAACTTGACAAAAAAGAATAAATTGGCGACATAAAAATGAAAATTTAAAAAACTAACCATCTTAAGACTGTATTAGAGATGTGTGACCATGCGTCCAACATCACATCAACCCTGACATAATGCGAGCATACAGATTAGGTTTTGATGTTGTGTGAGTTAGCTTGGCCAATTTATACCCTAACACTAACAGTAGCTAAGAATAAGAAAAATATGCAAACAATATTTATATTTTATAGTTTAAAGAAGAACGAAAAGACAGTGACAAAAGATGGTGATTCTCATTGCTGATGGCAAAAAAGTGTCTTACCTAATGTTTATAATAGGTTTTAGGAAAAAAAGAAATGGTTTATTCTATAAATTTTATAATGTGTTATTTTCTGTAAGATAACATACTATATCAATAAACGATTCATCCATGCTCATACAAGAGTATAAATATTTATAAAATAATCAAATCATAATAATTTTATATATATGCTTTCATTTTTATAGATTTAAGTATTTTTAATCAATGTTATGATAAGATAAATAAAATTATATTAAACATCATTATATTCTAATACACATATATAAAAAAAATGGCACGTCTGTTTATAAGTTTTAAGTCCTTTTTAATTTACACTATGCAAAATAAATAAAATATGGTATTAAGTATCATTATATTCTCATCTTAATTAGATATGTGATTTCATGTATCAAATTATATATTGGTTCATGTATTTATGTTGAGCTTTATATAATCTTTCATATTTAACAAAACTTTTATTCAAGTTATTTTTTTTTAAATATCATTTAGTTTGGTTCATTCCCTTATATTTGTAAATATAAATTCTTGCATTAATAAATACTTTGAAATATTTTTTAAAAACAAACGATAAGTCTATAACATCCGGAGTTGTGATATATGGAAAGGCTTAAGATGATTGATTTTGCTACCTATGTTACCAAAGTGCACTTACCTTTTTGTGAGCACATCCAGAGAGAACTCCAGAGTTAAGCGTGCATGAGCTGGAGTAGTCAAAGGATGGGTGACCTATCGGGAAGTGATTTTCGATACCGTGTAAGTGAGGCCAAAGCGCGGGGAAAGGTCATGTGGTGATTGCAGGGTCAGTAAACATGACTCTAAAACCTTGGAAAATTAACGGACCGGCCGTTGGAACGGGATAGGGTCCAGGGGCAGAGAGCGGGCGTGGGTGGCCCATTAACCGAGGACGGTCGGGGCGTTACAAGTGGTATTAGAGCTGGTTAGTTATCTCAGTTCTGACCTAAGAGGCGTCTTGAGACCTGTCTGGGGCGCAACAGGGACATTGCGTTCTTTGAGAGGGGGTGAATTGTAACATCCCGAGTTGTGATATATGAAAAGGCTTAAGAGGATTGATTTGGCTACCTATGTCACCAAAGTGCACTTACCTTTTAGGGAGCACATCCAGAGAGAACTCCAGAGTTAAGCGTGCTTGAGCTGGAGTAGTTAAAGGATGGGTGACCTATCGGGAAGTGATTTGCGATACCGTGTAAGTGAGACCAAAGCGCGGAGAAAGGTCATGTGGTGATTGCAGGGTCAGTAAACATGACTCTAAAACCTTGGAAAATTAACGGACCGGCCGTTGGAACGGGATGGGGTCCACGGGCCGAGAGAGCGGGCGTGGGTGGCCCATCAACCGAGGACGGTCGGGGCGTTACAAGTGGTATCAGAGCTGGTTAGCCATCTCAGTTCTGACCTGAGAGGCGTCTTGAGACCTGTCTGGGGCGCAACAGGGACATTACGTTCTTTGAGAGGGGGTGAATTGTAACATCTCAAGTTGTGATATATGGAAAGGCTTAAGAGGATTGATTTGGCTACCTATGTCACCAAAGTGCACTTACCTTTTCGGGAGCACATCCAGAGAGAACTCCAGAGTTAAGCGTGCTTGAGCTGGAGTAGTTAAAGAATGGGTGACCTATCAGGAAGTGATTTGCGATACCGTGTAAGTGAGGCCAAAGCACGGGGAAAGGTCATGTGGTGATTGCAGGGTCAGTAAACATGACTCCAAAGCATTGGAAAATTAACCGACCGGCCGTTGGAACGAGATAGGTTCCACGGGCCGAGAGAGTGGGCGTGGATGGCCCATTAACCGTGGACGGTCGGGGCGTTACAAGTGCAGATCAATTAGTGACATCTTGTTCAGTGGAAGGGTTGTTAAAGGGCGAGGTCTTGGGTTTGAATAGCGCCAAGCATATCAATAACCTACATTGGGGAGTCAGTGAGGGCTCACATGAGAGAGGTTAGGGTCGATGCGCTGCAGCGCTGTGAGCTTCAGTGGACATGTTGTCACATAAAAGTCGATTTTTATTGTAACGTGGAAAGGTCATGTGGTGATTGTAGGGTCAGTAAACATGACTCTAGAGCCTAAGAAAATTAACAGACCGGTCGTTGGAACGAGATAGGGTCCACGGGCCGAGAGAGCGGGTGTAGATGGCCCATTAGCCGTGGACGGTCGGGACGTCACAAGTGCAGATCAATTGGTGACAGCTTGTTCAGTGGAAGAGTTGTTAAAGGGTGAGGTCTTGGGTTTGAGTAGCGCCAAACACATCAATAACCTACATGGGGGAGTCAGTGAAAGCTCACATGGGAGGGGTTAAGGTCGATGCGCTGCAACGCTGTGAGCTTCAGTGGATTGATTGACACATAAAAGTCGATTTTTATTGTAACAACCTGTCCCGTGGGAACTACTTGCTCCATAGCCATCAGGCTGACTTTGTAGGATACCGACCCCAACCCTCTATTATGAATCCTCACTAACTCCATAATTAGGTTGTTAGTGAGACTCGAATCCAAGTCCTCAACCTTTAATATCACTCCCACATGTTGTTACAAAGTCATTTTAGATAAAATTTTAAGAAGTTGAAGTATTGAAAGATTGAAAGTTGCATGAGCAAACCAAATCGAAAATATTTCGATACTTCATTGATTGCTTATGATTTCATAATGTAACTATACCCAAAAATTCAAAGATTGTATTCATCTCAATTTCTCATCTTAATTAGATATTTGATTTTAAATACAATATTTTGAATATGTTCAAATGTTCATTTTTGTATGTTGAGTTAAATCTATTATTTCAAACTGAACTACAATTTTCTGTTTTATTTTAATAAGGATAAATTAAATTACTATTTTTAACTTCATTTAGCTTGGTTCATCCTCTAAATCTCTAATATACATATATTTTTTTAAAATTTTGTAAAACTTGATATATGTTATTTTGAAAAATAGAAAAAAATATAAGATTGGAGTTGAATTAATAAACGCAACTTATAATACTCTGAAGTTCATGTACATATATGAATATTTATAACAGATCTAAATTATATTATTTGGTTAATAGCTTATATATAATTTTGAATATTTTTATAAATTATATGTAAGAAAATTAAGTAAAATGTTATTAAATTTTTTTTTCTTCATTAGGCATGTGTTTTGAGAAATATGAAATCATTTGATCAGTTAATGTTGCTTAAAACTATTTTCCTTTTTTGTCATTTATCAAAAATATAATCATAAAAAAAATTATTCTTAAACAATATAAATTATTTTATTTTGTCTAATATTTTCTAAATTATGTTTTATATATAAACCTATATATTTTGAAAGTTAAAGATATTTCCTATCTATTTATGTTGTTTAAAGAAAACATAAAGTAAAGAAATAAATTTCATTTTATATATACAAAATAATATATTTAATAACGTAAGAAATATTAATTTCAGAACTGTTTACTACAATCGTAATCAAACCATAAGACAACGTTTTGTATTGTAATAAACGTCTCTAACTGACAGCATCAGTTACAAAGAAAGACCAGCAGTTACCAACGTACTTAGGTTTTTAATGCTTTATTATGTTCGTTTCCGAGTTTTCTTGCATTTAAGCTCTCTGTTTCCAAAAGTAGATACCAAAGTCAGATAAGAGTTTCATACAACATCCCTCGCCTGCGATATGAGACAAAATTTAAGCTCCGGCAACACGTCCTCCTAACATAGGGAATCTGACAGCTTAATTTATGTGTGTGTTTAGACCTTAACAACGTGTGTTTCTCTACTTGTGTAAGTAACATAGATTCTTCTAATCCAAAAAGTGTTTGTATATTCACAAAACTTGTTCTGTTCATTAAGAAACTGAGGCTAATGGTGACGGAGGAAGAGGTCAAAGATACATCAGCTTCTACTTTAAAACCTACAAACCAATGTAGTACTCTTTTACCAATTCGGGTGCTTCAGGTTTTCTTGATGCTCCTTGTTATGGCTCTTGGAATCTCTGTCGTTAGCATGCACATGATCAAGTACTTGAAGCTTCAAACTCTTGCTCCAACCACATTGATCCCTACGAGTGATGAAATAGCTTCACTGGAGAGCTTTATCAAGCCTCCGTCGAGTGTTTGGCACTCCATGAATGACAGCGAGCTTCTTTGGCGAGCATCCATAGAGCCACGGAGATATGAGTATCCCTTTAAAAGGGTTCCTAAAATGGCATTCATGTTTCTCACCAAAGGCCCACTACCATTTGCTCCACTTTGGGAAAGGTTCTTCAAAGGGCATGAAGGGTTTTACTCAATATATGTTCATACATTGCCAGATTATAAACCGGATTTTCCAAACTCATCTGTGTTTTACAGAAGACAGATTCCAAGTCAGGTACTTTCATTGATCTTATAACTCACCAAAACTTCTCTTTAGTAAGGTTGCTTCTTGTGTCTTAATCTACTTATTCTATGTAGGATGTGGCTTGGGGAGAGATGAGTATGTGTGAAGCTGAAAGAAGGCTTTTAGCTAACGCGTTGCTCGATATCTCTAATGAATGGTTTGTTCTGCTCTCTGAAGCTTGCATTCCTCTTCGAAGTTTCGACTTCATCTACAACTATGTCTCCAGATCAAGATATAGTTTCATGGGTTCTGCTGATGAGGACGGGCCTTACGGGAGAGGCAGATACAGCTATGCAATGGGACCAGAAGTCCAGCTAAGCCAGTGGAGAAAAGGGTCTCAGTGGTTTGAAATCAACAGAGAACTTGCTCTTTACATTGTTGAAGACATCATTTACTATAACAAATTCAAAGAGTTTTGTAGACCTCCTTGTTATGTGGATGAACATTACTTCCCAACAATGCTATCTATTCAGTATTCTCATCTGCTGGCTAAGAGGACATTAACTTGGACAGATTGGTCAAAAGGTGGTTCTCATCCAACTACTTTTGGAAAGTCTGTTATAACAGAGATGTTTCTCAAGATGATTTCTGAAGCTCAATCCTGTTTATACAATGATCAGCCATCTCAAGTATGTTATCTCTTTGCAAGAAAGTTTTCTCCAAGTGCATTGGAGCCATTACTCAAACTTTCACCAAAGGTTCTTGGGTTCTAATGGATTTCGCTTTTTTTGGACTTTTGAGTGGTAGCTTTGATTTAGCATGGACACAACTGACCATTTATCATTATAGTCCCACTTCTACATTGATATATAGATATACTCCAATGGCTAATGAAATTTAACATTACAGATAACTGAATAAGAAATGAATGATATATTTTCAGTCACAAAGAGCATCAGAGTCATCTTGTTATATTGTTTTGGCATTTCCTTAACTCTTCAAAACTGAAATGTTATTAATGGAACAAAAAAAACCTCTCCTTTATTTGCTGTTTGTTAAATACAATATCAATATAACATGTGTGTATGTTTTATGTTACATCTTCGTATGAAGATTAAATAGAATACACTGAAAAACTTAACTATATTTTAAGAAGCAAGTATAGAGCAAAAAAAAAGAATGTGGAAAGTAAGGAAAAACTAACTAATCATATGATCTGAGTCCCTCCTTTCCTCTTGAATGGAACGGAAAATTCTTGCAGCAGATTCAGAGGCAGATGTTGAAGTATGAGGAATGGCTTTAATGGCACGAGGCAGTGGTTGCTGTTTCTGCTCATACTCATCATTGTGATGAGTAGGCTCTGTAGGAAACAGAGGAAGTACATTGAACTTATCCTTCTCTGGTGGACTTGAAGCTGTACTTCCATGTACATCACTGTCATTAGATTCCTGAGACTTCTTTAATGAAAATGGAATCGCTTGAGTCATGCTAGACCATCTCTGAAGCTGACAAAACGGGTTTGTCTGGTCAAGTACTGTTGTCCTAGCGTTAGGTTGTGGGAAGTAGTTGTGGCTAAACTGAGTAGAAACAGGGAGCCTGAATGCTGATGTGTCGAGTGAATCATGACCATAAGCTGGAACCATGAAAGCTGAAGGAGGAGGAGGACAAGGTCCTGCGTATGGTTTATAGACCAAACCTTCTGAAGGAGACATTACAGGAACTAACCATTGGTTTCCAGGAGGAGGAAGTAGATGTTGTTGCCAAATAGGGGTCATGAGCTCTTTGGTTATAGAAGGTAGAGGAAGCTTTGGTTTCATATGCTCTGGATATTCTTCAGTTACAGGTTTGTGATTCTCAGTGTTTGGTTTCTTAACCTTTGAAGCAACCATTGTACCACGTCTTAGGCCATTAAACTTACTTTCAAGAACTAAGTTTGGTGATTTTGCAAGCATCTTTTGAACCTGTATCATGTTATGGCTCATGGTCATATCACATGAAAGCTGAAAATTATAGGAAGCAAGTCATTAGGAGCTTACCCTTATCAGCCTATGAAGCTCAAAAACTTGTGCCGCAAAGATCTTCTGCTGACTGAATACATCCGCAAGAAAAAAAAGTAAGAAACATGGCAGAAAAGTTTATTAATCATAAGAAACGAGACTGACAAGAAAGTTAGGATACATACTTGATCATATAAGTTCTCATCTTCCAGAACATCTTGTCACCTATCATTCTTGCAACATCATTAGAAGATGCACTCATAGTTGACAAAGAGTCTATGGCAGAACAGTCTGAGACATCTTGTTCACGGGGAGGCACGGTTTTGAGCTTCTTTTGAGTTTCAACGTCGAATACATCAAGGGATCTTCTTCTATACAATTGAGTTTTCATCATATTATGAAATTCTTGAGTATGAAGATTGTTCAGGGAAACCTTGGAGCCAGCAGCATCTCCTCCTCGGGCTTTACTGCTACTGCTGTTATTACAAAACTGGAGTGACAAATCTGTGTTTGCTTGTGGATCTGTTTCCAAGCGTCTAACAAGAGGAACCTTAAGAGAATCCAAGTTGGTGAGGTTCTCGAAATGGTACTCATTTTGTTTTATTGAAATGGGCGTAGTATTAGTAACTGATGATCCTCTGCCACTTGGATGATTCACCTTCCCCTCAAACTTTGATGCTGGTGAAATCTGACTCTTTTCAGGTCGACCATTCTGTTCAAAAAACAAGTATAAATTGATATTCAAACTTTGTATTTCTTATATTCTATTTTCATCAATGTTTTGTGTCACCAAGAGTAAGCAATGTAACACCACAGAAAATCAAGAAGTAAGTCAAGGAGCAAAGGAAAACTCACGAGATGGGTAGTGTTGTTGGCTTGTGGAGCAAGAGACAGAGAGAGTGTGGAAGGAGAATCAGAGATCTTGTTGATCGGAGAAGGAAGAGGGTAACGTTTTGATTTGCCATCAAATGGCTGAGACAAGCCTCCTCTCCCAGTGTCATTCACATGAACCCTTGGAAACAATGGTGGAATTGTAATCCTATTCGCCTCACCTTTCATTCCTCCCATCTTTCTATACACTTACAACAAACCCTATTAGTTTCTTCCACTGCAAGTAATCTCAAAATAGAAAGATTGGTAATTCTTGAAGAAGGTTAATTACCTTTCTGAAATCAAGTGATATGATCCAAATATCAAGATCAAACAACACTTTTAGATCAAATCTGAATCCAAAAGATTGTAAGTTTTATCTTTTCTTTCTTTTCTATAAAGAAGCAAATCTTATTACAAAAGATCAAGAAAAGAAGAATGAGAAGATATTTTGTTTGTGTCGCCCCACAATGGATTCCATACGAGGGGACGACAAAACTTCTCAAGGTTTGTGTGTGTGTGTGTGACTCTGCGGTCATGTCTGGTTCATTAAAGTAAAGATCCCTAACTCACGGGAACTCGGATTACAGAGGACGTGGCGAGTTTTGGTTGGTTAGGTCCGAGTGGTAGGAGAATGGCGTGAGGGAGAAGTTGCTCGGGTGACTCGGTCTCTTTACACAACACTAGCCACATGTTTTCAATCTCTCTCTTTCTCTCGTGGCTAACTTAAAAACTTCCATCATTTCCAAAAAAAAAATTCCTATTTTGGGATTATTTTTAACGAAATATCTGTTTTTGATCACTTATCGGCTGACACAGAAGTGAGGAGAAGAAGCGTGTTCGGTCGGAATACGCCTATTTCCCGGTTTGGTCGGGTCTGGCCAGACCACAAAGCGAGGTCTAGCTTTTTTTGGCGCGTGATGGTCAACGTCTCGTGGCTCCTCAAATTTAAGAAGCAGAGCGTGAGTTGAGCTTGAGCCCACTAAATTCTTACATACTGAGGTTTTTTGGGCCCTTGGAATATTAAGGTAATTACAACATTGTTTGGACAAAAAGCATTTAGTTTGAGTGATAGTGGTGCATACTTTAGATTTATCTCTTTTATATAATCTATTATAATTTTTTTTTTTGATAAAGGCTTTAATCTATGAGTTATTCTTCGGTTCACCTCATCGGGTGAACCTTTAGGATCACCATCCAATAGGATTGCATTATTTCATATTTGATATCTTTTTAAAAAACAAAATCTAGTTAAGCTATATTATGTTTTTTTAAAAAAAAAAACAGAAATAACTAAAATAATAATAATAATTAAGAAAAATGAAAATAATTCTTATTAGGAAAATATTTTAACATTAAACCCTAAACTCTAATCCTAAACCATAAACCCATGGGTAAATCATAAACCTTTGGATAAATTTTATAAAAAATTCTTTAAGAAAAAATATTTTAACACTAAAACACTTAAACCCAAACTCTAATCTTAAATCCTAAACCTTTGGATAATTCATAAACACTAAACCCTAAACTCTAATCATAAATCCTAAACCCTTGGGTAAATCATAAACACTAAATTTTTAAAATACTATAAGATTTATCCAAAGATTTAGGATTTATCCAAAGATTTAGGATTTACCCAATGGTTTAGGGTTTAGGATTAGAGTTTAGGGTTTAGTGTTAAAATATATATTTTTTAAAGAATTATTTTTTTTTATTAATTATTCTTATTTTTATTTTTTTTTATTTTTTTATTTTTAAAAACATAATATAACTTAAGAAGATTTTGTTTCTTTTTTTTAAAGAATCAAATATGAAATAATGCAATCCTAGGGGGTGAACCCAAGAATATGTCTTAATCTATTATATCTCGTAAGCTACATTCCTATGTTTTTGTAGTTGGAGAACTTTATACTGGTTAATAATATTCATATTCACATACAATTATGAGTTTAAATAATCATATGTATAAATAATATCTTTTATGTTAATAGAAAAAACAAGCAAGCTTAGTATTGGTTAATGACGGTTATTGAGAGACTTCGGCTTAACAATGTAACGTGAACTTATACCTTACATTATTATATAAGTTTATTGCTATGTAAAAAATAGATAACGTGAATCTTTTGTTCATTTCGAAATGATATTCACATATTTAGCGAAAAAAAAGTTCACTGTTATAATATATGGAATTACAAGTATGAAGATAATATGCATATATGTGTGTGTATGTATGTGTTTGTGTATTTATGAAGATACCAAATAGTATAATTGAAGCTCATATCCTTGTCAAGATTCATTTATTCCTACAGGATAATATTCAATATATTAACGGGGGTGATACATCAAAAATATTAGATACATCAGAAAAAAGAATTTGGTTAAAAATTGGAAAAACAAAAATAAATAAATACAAAAACGAAAGCGAAAAAATACTCGGGGTCCCTACAATATGACGCCATGCTGATTTCCCACGTGGGACGACTATCCTCTAGGATTACAACCAATTATACAGAGCCACGTGCATGTGAAGAACGTTGTGTTCACGTGTGAGCCATCAATAATGGAAGAGTGAAGAGGAGTCAAGTGCTTCTTCAGCTTCGCTTACTGTACAGCTCCGGTCTGGACCAATTAAACCGTACCGAGCCAAAGTAGCAGAAAGAGAAAGAATGTAATCGTTCTGCTCTTAAGATGTTTCATGTTTTGACAATATAAGAAAATGGACCACCTTGATCTCTTTATCATGGGCGCAGAATCATGGACATACCCCCGACAAAACATATCATTATGTTTCTACACTTAAAAATTCTTTAGAAGAAGCATCAAAGTGCTCAAATCTGCAAAGTTATGTACGTTCCTACGAGGCCCGGTGTCTTTTAATGTGTTCTGATGAACATACTTGTTGCAGCTGCACTCCAAGTTGACTTAGTAAACCGACGCGGTCGATTTTAATTTTGGTACACTGGATTGGTATGCATGACCGTGGGAAGTCAAATTCGTGAATTAAAAGTGAGAAGTTGTTCTCGACCGACATTTTTGGTTCCCGGTTGAGGTGTGAGAATAATTAATTTTGATTTGAGAATTTTTGTTTTTTATGGGTCTCTCAATTAATTCTTGTTTTGGGATTGTTCAAATTTTTGATATTATTTCGAAAACATTGCGTTCACATGTATGAACAAAGTAATGTCTCTTTCGTTATGAGTATCCTAAGGATGTCAACAATTGTGAATGTGATGTTGATCTTCATTTACCTTTCATCTATGGTTATACGCATATAATGCAAAGGCAGTTCTTCCCTATATAATTATTGGTTATTAGCTTACACATTCGACATTTCAAGAAAGACAGTTATTTAAATAAGCTACATTTGCAGAAGATAAATGCATTTCTATCTAAATATTGTCGCATTTCTATCAATCAAATCGTGCTATAAAGAACATTAGTTACATATATTGTTAACAAAGAAAAATGATCGGAGACTTGGAGTAACGAGTTTCATCATTATATTTTTTTTTAAACCAGAGTTTTTTTTTTGTGAGAATTATATAAATAGGGGGTTTGTGTACATACATATTAGAAAACTTTGATTCAGCTTAATTAAAACGTTTGATAAAATTCAAATGAGTAAGATCTCGACAGAATTGTTTTGGATTTAAGTCTTGACGCAGTTATGGAGTGTTTAGGGTTTAGAAAAAATAATTAAGATTAAATTTTCATGTTGTATATATATATATATTATATTCGATTTGAGTGTTTTCAAACATATAATAAAATGATATGAAATAATCTAGTAATCAACTAACATAGATAATTAGCTAAATAAAGTTATGTACCATAATTATAAATGTATGAAAAGGGTCCTAGTATATTAATGATAATTCAGTTTTACTTTATATGTTTAACACATCCATAATACATCAAATCACTTATTGAATTGTGTTCGTTTTTCCTTATTCTTATACATAACGGCAGCAGATAAAAATAAATTGTTATAAAGTTTTGTGTATGTGATTAAAGAGTTCAACTGTGCGTAAGCGTAATTTTGTTTATTTATTTATCTGGAGGCAGAGAAACATTGATGGTAAGTGTAAAACATGAGTAAGAGAGGGCAAAGCAGTGGGATAAAATGATACAACAAAGTTGACAATTATAAAAACAAAAGCAAAAAAATTGAATGAGCTGTACGTGGGATTATGGAAGGCATGTGGCTGGGCAGGGAGGTCATGTCGCCTTCTTTGCTCTCTCTTTCTCACCGTTCTACTGATTGCGATGTTTTGTATACTGATTTACACTAAAACCAGAGTTCTTCTTTTATTCCCAGCTGATGTTGCTATTTGCGTCTTCTTACCCCTACAATATTTCCATCTATTCTGTTCTCAACTCCACTAACAAAAAATCCCCAATTTTTTTTTTCATTCTTGTACATGAGGACTCAAATTTGTATACTAAGGTAATATTAATTTGATTTATATTTTGAGTATTTGTAAACTAAAATATACAATCTAATCTCAAGGATAATATATAATGGAAGATGTCTTATATATACACTTCAGTAGATGCCAAAAAAAAGAAATCCACTTCAGTATTGGTAAATAGAAATGACCGTACATTTTAATACTATTCTGCAAAAAAAAAAAACTATTTCCGCAAATATCCAAATTTATTATAACATTGTAAAACTACGATATTTTCATTAGATTGGTTCACTTTCGTTATAACTTGTAACTAAACGTGACTAAATCCCCAAAAAGTTTTGTAATGTGCTTTCCATTTTGATTGATTTGGTTAAGCTTTCCATTTTTTCATGTACTTGATATTATTTTCATGTATCGATTATATATTTAATTACATGACATGACAGAGAATTGGAATAAAAGTTAGGATTTTCAAAATTAATACTAAGGTTTAAACATATTATTTTAAAATTTTCTTTTACAAAAAAGAGTACAGTATAGATCTATATGTTGATATATATTGATCATTATTGACTCATGATGATAACCAAAAGGTAAACTAATCAACAGCTAGAAGAATAAGAAAATGGTACTATTTAACTATAAGTTACTTTTGCAGCTTGATCATGATCAAAACTATGATTAGATATAATATAAAATGTAGTTAACACAGATCTTTTATTCACGAAAAAAGAAATCAAACCCTAATTCGCAACTTCGTTTCGACATTTCCCGTAAACTTTTCAGTTCGCACGATACTAAAAGGATGTCAGTCCTTTTTCTGCTCAAGCACTCATAGATTTTAAATTACATCTTCCTTTTCAGTTTTCATCAAGTGCATAATGATATACTCTATAGTTTATCAATTATTATATTTATTTTTTAGGGTTACGAAAAGATGCTCTTCGAATCCAGAAACTATAATGTATACCAAATGCATATATATACACATGTGTATTAATAATATAGATTTAAGATCATTTCCCAAGTTCCATTAGTAATTTCAGTTTTATCTTAGAGCTTTTCGGACTCATTTCTATATATTTTTCTAAGTTTTTTTCTCTTTTTTTTTTTGTCACGACTAAGTTTTTTTCTCTAGAACAAAAGAATTTTACTATATAGATGGTCGACAGAAGTTTTCAATTTTTAGAAGAATGCTATTTTTGTTTCTATATTTAGATGCAAAATAGCATTTCTCTATATTTTAATCATAAAGACCTATATTTTTAAAAACTCTACATTTATAATATAGTTTTTTATTTTATAGGAAACTATAAAAGTGAGTTGGGGATGATGTAAAGTATGTGTAAAAGGAATCAGCTACTCACGAAAATTAAAATAAATTTCGGATCAAGTAATGAATAATTCTGGTTTACGAGAGGCATAAAGTTTATGTTCGGAATGTTGTTTTTTATATGTAACTGAGTATGTTCGGAATGTTGTTGCACACTTTTTTGGGTGTAATGTTGTTGCACACTTGTGCTAAGGTCAAACGTTTATATTTCCGGTGGTGTTTTGAAATTCCGTATTAGGGAATTTAACAAACTCGTTAATATTTGAACATTGTAAAAAATTGGTGGGTTGAAACTCTCCAATGGTTTGATCTCTCAAAAATATTTCTAAAAATATCAGGCATGCACAATATTGATCATTTTTGATATCCCAAATTACTGACCATGACATAGTTACTGGTTGTGTATATATAGTTATCTCATCGTATTAATGTTATCAATATTTCAAATAGAATCAAGTCTCTCAAATCTGCAGGGAAAAGTAGATATAATTCTCATATTGAGGTTTATCCACTTAAATATTGTATCATTTTCATTTATTTCTCAATACATTTTAATTGGTATGGTAACATACTCGATTCAAACTCACATAATTACACAGAGGAACTAATAAAATTATGATACAGATGTTCATACATTTATCATAAAAGTTGTTATAAAAAAAAAAATACTCAAAGTAAATGCAAGACTAATCTTGGATAGTTAGTCAAGGAATCAAATGTTCTTTATATGTATATATAAAGCATTTGATCAAAAAAATGAGTATATATAAATAAAGCCTTTTTGACGGCGGTCATCTTGATAACTTTTAAAATTATAATTAAAATGGGTTTGATGCACACAAAAAAAGAATTAAAATGGGTTTATTTCAAACTTAACCCTAGTTTTAAATTTAACAATCCATGCCAATATGCAGAACTAGTGCTTGATTCAGAGGAACAATTGATCTCATCAAAAGCTGGGACCTTTTAAATTATAATAATATACAAATATCTATATGCATATATTTTTAAAATATATATATACCTATGTGCATAATAACAAATCTGGGTATATGAATAGAGGTGTAGAGGCTTTCAAGTCCTTTCTTTATAGCAAAACATCTAATAACTCTAAGCAGAGCTCATTATAGAAACAGAACAGAAACAGAGCCTTCATTTACTTTCTTTCCTTTCTGAGCAGTTCTTCATTCTGTTTCTTTCCCTTTTGGGGTTTCATCTCTATAAAGCAGAACCGTTATCAGTTTCCTCTGCACTCATCTCTTTGTTCTCTTCTCTTTGTTTTCTTTTTTCTTTTGAGTCCAATGGAAGGATTAGAATCGGTTTACGCGCAAGCTATGTACGGTATGAACAGACAGAACAAAACCATGGAGCATCAAGGATCAGATTTGATCTGGGGAGACAATGAGCTGATGATACCTCGAGAGCTCTGTTCTTCCTCATCTCATCAGCTCATTAATCCCAATCTTGGCAGCTGTTTCATGTCTGATCTTGGAGTCATTAATGAGATTCAACATCATCATCATGATGTCGGAAACAGAGCTGCTTCGTTAGATCCATCATCGCTGGAGTGTTTGTTATCAGCGACGACGAACACTTCGACGGAAGACGACGAGGGCATCTCTGCGCTTTTCTCAGATTGTCAGACCCTTTGGAGCTTTGGTGGAGGAGTCTCATCTGCAGAGTCTGAGAACAGAGAGAACACTACAGAGACAACAACAACAACAAAGCCTAAGTCTTTGAAGAGAAACAGAGACGAGACAGGAAGTCACTTCCGTCTTGTCCATCATCCTCAAGATGATGATACAGAGAAAGGAAACTTCAAGCTCATATACGATGAGAATCAATCAAAATCCAAGAAACCAAGAACAGACAAAGGAGGTGGTTCTTCCAACATCAGTTTCGGACATTCAGCTTCTTTGTCTGATAATGTCGAGCCTGATGCAGAAGCGATCGCGCAGATGAAAGAGATGATATACAGAGCGGCTGCGTTTAGACCGGTGAACTTTGGAGTGGAGACTGTTGAGAAACCTAAGAGGAAGAACGTGAAGATCTCGACGGATCCTCAGACCGTGGCAGCGAGGCAGAGGAGGGAGAGGATAAGCGAGAAGATTAGGGTTTTACAGACATTGGTTCCAGGTGGGACTAAGATGGATACTGCTTCAATGCTTGATGAGGCTGCTAATTATCTCAAGTTCCTTAGAGCGCAAGTAAAGGCTTTGGAAAACTTGAGACCCAAGCTTGACCCAACTACTCTCTCATTCTCATCTCCTAATTCGTTTCCTTTATTCCATCCATCTTTTATTCCCATGCAAAACCCTAATCAGATCCATCATCACCCAGAGTGCTGAACATGTCGGTTCATCATTATCATCATCATCATCATCAACAGAATCAGAATCAGAATCATAGTTTCTTGATTGTTTTAGCAGTTCTCAAGAAAAGGCACTTCTGTGTTAAGAATGTTGTGTTGGGCAGTGTTTGTTTCTACTTTCCAGTCTTTTTTTTTTCTGCATTTCTTTTCATACAAAGTTTTTAATCTCTTTTTGTAGTATCTGTGGAATTTCGAGGGTTGAATTTGTGAAAAACAGAGCCCTAAAGATGTTAATTTACTGTCTCTGCAACATTTTTCACCCTTTTATTATTTTATTAGAGAAAATAAAGCATACGATAATTGCAATTATGAAGCGATGATTATTTGCAAAGGTGTTTGGAAAGTGCATCTATCTCTTGTTAAAAAGTTTTAGCTTGCTTTTCTTGAAGAACTCTTTTAGAATAAATAAATTAAATATTAATCCTCTCTCTTTTTTTGTAATCAATAAACTGACTCTGGACCTATACATTAATATCAATTACTTCTCACTATATTGCAAGGTTATTAAATTTCTATGTATTATAGATCTTTATTATATTGATCCATATAAAAATTGATTTCAGATCTGTTTTTACTTCCAGGATATATATGTAACAACCAAAAGCCAGCATGTATTTATGCTGATTGCTAAATAGTGTTGGTGGAAGAAAATTATTATATACTTTGTATCTAATTTATCTTAACAGAACTGTGTTCTTTTGTTTGTTTATATATTAAAGACAAAAGTTTAAAACATTGTTTGGAGATTAGTAAGAGTTAAGAATGTTGAAGGCGTGCGCCTTGAGAATGTAAACTCACACCTGACTCAAACACCCTAAAATGCTCACCACATGCTTCTCTCTATCTCCCTCTCTTTTTATTCTTCTTTTTTGTCTTTTGGTTTTTGTCTTATTTCATCCCTTAATATCTCCTTAAACACCATCTTCCTCATTTAATAGTACTTTATGTTGTTCTTTTGATGGATGTGTTTCGTTTCGTTTCTTTTTATTTTACATGGGTTTACTCTTAGATTCTTCGGTGTCATACCGGATGTCAAACTCGGTTAGTTAACGAACGATAATAGTTTGAAATCTGGTCTCATTCGGTTGGTTCGACCGGTAAACCCGCAAGTCATGCACTAGCGTGGTTTAGTTACTCTTAACAACTGGAACTTTTTGATCTTTTAAATGCAGAAAACTCCAGAAAAGAAAATCATAACGTGTCTTGTGCATGTAACTTATAGTCTCCTTAATACGCATAATGTGTTCCATCACGTTTTAGCAAAACTGATGTATACAGTCTTAGAAACGTAGACTTTATACGTACATGAAAAAGATGACATGTAGTCGTTTGTGTTAATATCATGATTGGGTCGTACTTTGGTTTAAATCCACAACGAATGTTATTGAAAACAACAAAACACGAAAACACAAACGGTCTAATTACACAAAAAGTCTATTTACAGAAACAGTTTTTTTACCAATGGATGAGAAAAGCTAATGGTTAAACGCAAGTATTAGTATTGTTGCACTTGAAGTTTGTATTTTGATAGAAGAGATGATTTACATCATGTTTTAGGTCTTAGCATAGGCAGACTTGGCTCCAATTAAACCCAAACTCCTAGTTAGAAAAACTACACTATGTGAAGATTACATGTGGAAAATTCCCGTAATAAAGGCCTATTGCAATATGCAACCCGGCTATTGGATGGAATTAAAGTCCATCGTATAACGGTTACGAAGTCATCAAAGTAATGAAACAATTCGAGATGCAACTGACACGGTTTGGCAGCTTGTTATGAAAAACAGGCTTATCTATAACGACAAACATTTTAAGTCGAGTATATAATTTGGATGATTTGGTAGATAAAATATATATTTAATATAAAATCATATATCCAAGTTGACTCACAACAAACAGAAAACTCTAAGAAATAATCATATTTTATAATATTTAACTATATAACAATCAAAAGAAAAGTCAGGATTCGATGAAGGTTTGCAAGCTGGTGAGATAAGAAAGATCGATCATGTTTGTTGACTTTATAATTGAACGGTTATGGTTTTTTGTTTGTTTTCATGTAACGTTTTAGACAAAGATGTTCCTGTGAAGCAACCTATTTTTGGAAAGTTTAACATAACCTTAATCGCCTAATAAATCCGAGATTTTGGTCCTACTAATCATTAGAATTCAAAGAGAAAATCATCCAAAATTATGGTACATACAACATGGTCCGCAAATCAAACAAACAACCTTATGAGTACACATGTCCATCAATGTATTAATTATTAGGGCAAATAAAATTAATATCAAGAACAAAGTATCTTGTCAAATCAGAGGATATACACTTGATGACGAGAGCTGAATATTTCTTACTTCAGCAACTTGGCAACTTCTTAGCTTATAATTAACGAAACTAGCATCCAGTTGTCCACAATCATCAATTGATATGTTATACCCCTCCATTATCATCCTTTCGATTTCATTAATTATTCCTCAACTTGTTGTTCTTTTCTTTTGATACTTGACTTGTTCTTTTAGATACTTTGAGTCTTGGTTTTAGCTGGTTTTAAAAGTTTGTTGTTAATTTCGGCTATGTTTACCAACTGTAAAAGTAAAACCGTGTGTATGTAAGTCATGACTCATGAGTAAGTCTGTAAGTGTATGAGCTAAATAAATTGATATAGAGGGACATGTACAATAATATCTCTCATAATTGAAAAATCTAGTGGAACTTAACGGTGCTGGATGAGAAATCATGAAATCTACAAGTAAATATATTTAGAATTCAATATTTAAAAATCTAAACTAGTAGCTAAATGAAATTAAGCCAAAATGATTTTTAAAAATGATAAGTAAAATAGAACTGGAGAAAAATTTAAGATTAAAAGAACTTAAATATATAGTAAGCTCAAGAAATTGGAGTTTGAAATTATAAATGTTCAGAATGATAATATAAATCTAAATAATACTGGTCTACAGAAATTATGAGATGATATATTTGGCAATTTAATTTGCATAGAACAACATTTTATATGCGCAAATTAGTTATCAGCTCCACTGTTTAAGAATTGAAACGTAAACATCAACTGTTTATTATTGTTGGAATTCTCTTCTTCTTAGGATTGCCCAGCAACCCCAAATACATTTTTCTTTAGGTCATGTTCATTTTCTGTTTGGTTGCAGTATCTATATGAAACATCTCAGTATAACTAGTTGATGTTAAATGAAAATGTATACATTTCTTATTTTGTATTTGCGCTTAGATACAACATCTAGATGTTAAGTTATTCGTTTTTGATAATAGCATTTGAGTACTGCTAATTGCTAACTAAAAAGACTTTTAATGACATGATTCATATAAATGATAATAAATTAATTAATATATATTAAATCAGTCTAAATTATACTTGTAGCAAGAAAATTGTTGAAGTTAAATAATTTTGGTTTCGATGTGTATTCGGTGGCAAAATCTGATTTTTGGGCATTGGACAACTAACTCATTTTTTTTAATTTTAATGAAAAAATTATAAGTAGTGGTTTTAGTGAAAATAATCATGATTTGTAATTTTGGCGAGAAAACATGTTTCTGTTTTTAACTGAAAAACTTGATTTAATGATTTTTGCGAGAAAATGTGATATTGCGGTTTTGGCGAAAACTGTGATTTTGCGTTTTTGACGAGAAAATTTAATTATATGTGTTTGACGGAAAAATATGATTTTGTTGTTTTGATTGAAAGATCAAAATTATGGTTTTGACAAGAATACACATATGATTTTGGCGAGAAAACGTGATTTTGGGGTTTCAGCGAGAAACCCCCAAATGTACGGTTTTGACATAAAAACTCAATTTCACGGTGTTGGTGAAAAACTTGATTTCGAAGTTTTGGCGGAAAAACATAATTTTGTGATTTCAGCGAAAAAATTAGATTTTATTGTTTAATTGGTTCCCAATTTTACTATGTTTGCACAAAAACCCATTTTAGGGTTTTAACAAAAAAAAAAAAATCAATTTTGAGCTAAACGTTTAATATTAATTTTAGTTCAGTTTAATTTATTTTGGAAAAAAGAATAGTTTTAACGAAATATCAATTTTAGGTCTAGTTTGGTTTAATGAAAGCTGTTGTTCAAAATAGGAAATTTTTGTGAACAAAATAAATTTTGCAGTTTTTATGGGAAAAACAAATTTACGTTTTGACTAGATAATAATAATTATTATTATTAATATTAAATATAATAATAACTAATATATAATAGATGTTTTTAAAAAAAGTCTAGTGTTCGCTGAAAGGAAACGACAGCGTTTTGAAGAAAGGCGATTTTGGCGACTGAGAAAGCGATTTCTTCTTCCGATCTCTGCTATCTTCCGAGATGGTTGGGATGGATGCTCAGGAGGTTCCGACGACGGATCCTCCTCCTCTGGGGAATAGGGAGTCATGGGTTTCAGTTGCGCAGAAGAAACACGTTATGAAGAAGTTCGATTATGACGTTACGGTTTCTGATGGAAAGCGATTGGTGGAGGTTCCATCGGAAATCTTTGAGAAGGCGGATCCACTGTGGGATGACTTCGTTATTGTGAGGTTTCTGGAGACGGCGCCGCACATAGCGAATGTTCACATGATTTTGAACAAGATATGGGCTTTCGGTGATAAATCTCAGAAACTTGATGTGTATCAGATGGATCCTAAAACGATGAGGGTAAGAATCATTAGTGAGAAGATCAGGAACAAGGTTATTAGACGAGGGATGTGGAACATAGCGGGAGTGCCTATGTTGGTATCAAAATGGTCGCCAGAGGAAGACATTTCAAAGAAGGTGTTACCCTTATGGGTTCATGTGACTAATGTTCCATTGAGTATGTATTCATGGAAGGGCCTGAGCTTCATTACTAGTGCAGTAGGAGTCCCGGATCATCTTCACCCAGAAACAGTTGCTTGCTCGGATTTCGATATTGCGAAGGTTTTTGTTATTGGAGATATTTCAAAGGAACTTCCACGA